ATAAATAATAATTAAAATAAAGTATTGTTTATTATGAAAATTTAGTTGTACACAACATTATCTCTCTCTCTCTCTCTCTCTCTCTCTCTCTCTCTCTCTCTATATATATATATATATATATATATATATAATTGTTATTGATTATTTTTAAAATTATTAGTACTTTTTATGATTGAAACCTTCAGTTATCAGTAAGGTACCTATTAAACAAATATATTACGGCGACACACATCATAATAAAATCATTCATAAAAAAATGTACTCAAATGAAACGACCCTGAATCATATTTTCATAAATTGACGCAACAAATTCAAAACTTTATAGATATTATTTGAAATATAAATATGAAATTTAAAACTATATAAGAGAATTATTTATTTGTTATAATATAGGTGACGGAGTGAAGGCCCACCCGCGAAAGATCGAGGCCATGGTGGTTGGTGGATTGGCCTAAGCCGACGTTCTTGATGCAATCGCGCGGATTTTTGGGCTTGACCAGGTACTACTAGAAGTTCGTCAAGGACTATGGGTGAACCACTAAACCTTTGACCGACGCGAGATGACCAAGAAGGAAGGTTTCAAATGGACTAATACCAGCGAGGCTGCGTTAGAAGAGCTCAAGCGTGCAATGACCATGACGCCCGTACTGGCGATGCCTAAATTTGATGTCTTATTCATCGTACATACCAACGCAAGTGACATCGGTATAGGGGCTATTCTAATCCAAGAATGTCGGTCATTGGCGTATATTAGCAAAGCACTCGGGAGCATGCGACTCGGGTTGTCGGTTTACCAAAAGAAATGCTCGCGGTCGTGAAGCGGTACAGTGTTGGAGACCTTACTGTATGGGGAGTCGCTTTCGGGTCGTGACTGGCCAACAGCCCTTAAATCACCGTTTGGAGCAAAGGATCTTCATGCCCGAACAGCAAAAGTTTGTCTCAAAGCTAATGTATCAGCGTGGGCGACAAAATGCGGTAGCGGACTCACTATCGCGTAGGATGGACGTAGCCGAGTTGGAGGCTATTTTCGGGCTGAACTGGGCTGTTTGGGATGAGTTGAGAGATGCTCAAAACTAATACGTAACGTGTCAAGATATACGTCAAAAGATAGAGGCGAAGGACGAAGCGGCCGCGGAGTATGACGAGCACAATGGACTACTATTGTGCCGATGCTGAGTGTATGTGCCGAACAACGGACAATTAAGGAAAACGATTATTAGGCATGTCCATAACACAAAATTTGGAGGTCATTGAGGGGTGTATCGCACGTGGATGCAGTTTTCCATTACATTATATTGGCCCGGGCAGCAAGGGGTGGTGCGCGACTACGTGGCGCGATGCGAAGTGTGCCAGCGAGTCAAGGCGGACGCACGATGGCAGAGCGGGTTGTTGCTGCCTTTGCCCGTACCCAAACGCATTTGGGAAGATATTATGATGGATTTCATTGAAGGGTTGGCTCCAATGTTTTAAAACGCGCATCGCGCAATGCGTCGGGTTTTAGTTCTTATATTGCGTAGCGTAAATAGCATAGTGCATTGCGTAAGCTTTTCGAGAAATTTACTTTTATGCTAAAAATAAAATATATAATCATACAATCGAATAAATAATTAAAATGGTCTTAAACCATAAATTAACTTGGACATTGAATCTAAAAAATGACATTCAAATATTAATTCTTAAAAAACAACCAAAGTCTTAATGTTTAAAGTAAAGATTGAAAATCTTAAAATGATCGGTGTTATCCAATTGAATTTGGCTATCATCGTCAATTCTATCAAAATTATGGAGAATTTTAGTACAAAAAATAATTGGTACAATTTCACTAAAATTCTTGCATCTCCTCATCATTTGGAGAAAAAATGAAGTGTTCTTCTCATTTCACTTTTGAGCTTAAGAACATAAACACACATTATTCTAATAATCCAAAAGGTCAATCATAGCTATGTTCATATCAAATTTTCAAATAATTTTTTTCAAGAGAAATACGAAACATGATCTAATAATCACTCAAATTCGCCATAGGAGAAATTACTCAATTTTGTATCGTACGTTTTTTTTTTTGTATTTTATTATTTTATTGTTTTATTTTTTGCCTATAAATAAGGATTTCCTAATAGCGTGAGAAATAGCGCAAAATATAGCGTAAATTGTGTAAATAGCACAAAATATAGCGTATATTGTGTACGTTTTTCTGGAACTGCGCGAAATTATATACGCTATGTCGCGTTTTTGGGTAAAAATGCACTATAGCGCGTGAAATTGAGCTATTTACAACACTAGCTGCCGCTTTCCAATGGATTTAACGGGGTTATGATCGTGGTGGATCGGTTAATCGAGTACGCGCATTTTGTCCCGCTGACTCATCCCTACACGGAGAAGTCGATCGCGCGATTGTTTGTGGAATACATGATGAAGCTCCATGGGGTCCTTCGGTCGATTGTTTCTGACGAAGATTGCATCTTTATGAGCAACTTCTGGTCAGAATTCTTCAAGATTCAAGGTACATAGTTAGCTATGAGTTCGGCCTATCATCCACAAACCGACGGACAAACGGAAGTGAAGAACCGAACGTTGGAACAGTATATTCGGTGCTAGGTACATCAATTTCTGAATAAGTGGGAGGACTTCTTACCTTGGGCTGGGTATTGGTACGATACGACTTACCATAGCTCGACCAAATCTACGCCGTTCGAGTTGGTATACGGACAAAAACCGCCCACGCTCGTGAACTATTCAATGGGGGAGTCAAAAAAATTTTGATGGATCGATCAATCGCATGAAGACTTTCCACGGTAAAGGGAGGCGCGAAGAAGTTTTGAGACCGGAGATTGGGTCTATTTGAAGTTGCGGCACTTTCGACAACGCACGGTCGCGCAAAGGACCGCGTCCAAAGTGGCGTATCAGCTTGAACTACCAGAAGAATCATAAATCTATCCGGTAATCCATGTTTCAGAATTGAAGAAAAGCTTGGGCGAGGCACACAAGTTGGGCGCTCGACTACCTGCGATGGCTCTGGATGGGCAAATCATTGTTAGTCCAAGTCGTGCATTGTGTTATCGCGAAGTAAAAGAAGGTCGGGCGTTTCTTTTTGGGAAGTGTTAGTCGAGTGGGAAGACTTGTCGGGGGAAGATGACATGGGAGAACTTAGACGAGATGCGTGCACGATTTCCGTCTTTCATCCTTGGGGACAAGGAAACACTTGAAGGGGACGGGGATGATGAAGATGTGGCCAGAAAATTGAATAACGTGGCGAGTTGGGCTTATCATGCGCACAAGAAGATGGCTCGGCGGGCTACCGAGGTTAGTTCGATGAGCGTATGCGGTGGCGCGCGAAACAACGCGCGTGGGAATGACGCGCACAGGCAGTCCGCGAACAAGGCGGGTACGTACGGACACACGAGCGCACATAGACACGCGCGCGAAGACGGACACCCGCAGGAGCAGCTCGAGTATCGCACGAGCAGATGACGCGTGCAAACGGGGACTGGGCGCGGGAACTCTGGACGAGGCGGCTAGGGTTACCCGACGACCGAGTTGCAGATTTCTACTAGAAGTTTCAAGGCTTATTTTCCCTCCTGCTTTATTATTATTCCTAGATTTTTTAGGAGTGCATTAGTTTGGATATTTTTAGGAGAATTAGAAGCTTATATCCCTAGGACTAGTCTTAGTTACCTTTTATAAATACTCATGTAATTAGGACGTTTTTGGATCATCAAATTATTAAAAAAAAAAAAAAAAATTCAGAACTTTGTTCATCTTCTTGTGTTAGAATTCTCTTTGAGTTTTAGTGCAAAACTCTTGTGCCGAAAAGGCGTTCCAACGCATTGTCCGACATAAGACTGAGTTTGGCAAGGGCATTGTGTCCGAGTTCTCTCAGATCCGTGAGAAGACAAGGAAAGCTTCGAGTCGTCCACAACCTATCTCCGAGAAGGAAGCCATTCAAGCGACTTTCAAAGCAAACCAAGTTGTCGGGACACGCGATCTTCATCTCAGTGTCCTAGAGCGTGAACTTGTGTGTTTTAGCTCTCATTAACTAGATAGCTCATCATGTTTTTGTCCAAGCCCACTCAATTGAGAAGTTAATTAAGCTACTTAAACTCAATTGTTTCTACATTTCACCTCATCTTTAAGCAAAATTCATATTTATTCACCCTAAAATAGGTTTAGAATTTTTTTT